ATCAGCTTGCAGGGCACCCCGAGGAAAGGATTCTGGAAATTCCCAGAAGATAAAGTCGCAGCCCAAGAACAGGTGAATTGTCCCAGAACAACCTGCTACCCTCTGTTTTCCGGGAAGGTCTTCCTCCCAGGGCCTGCCAAAAGACTAGGAGTGCTAGGGCACTAAAGGAGGTTGTCCTCCTGTGACCTAACCTGGGCAGGCTTCCTAGGGTGTCTCTGGAGGCAAGTGTTCTCTCCAATTGCACCGGGTCCCCCAGGATGCCAGGTGACCGTCGAGCTCTTAAAGCAGCTTAAGTTTAGAAGGCTCCAGACCTGGTTTCTATATAATATAATAGGGAGCACAACCCTGAATCCCAGGGAAAAAGTATCACTAGGAGGAGTGTAAATACATTCCTGATTATTTACAAAAGGCTGATCACTGTATGTTTAAAAAATAAAAATAACTCAAAGAGTACCCACTGGTGAAAATGAAAGTAAAGGTGTCTCTCCCTCCAATAGGATGAAACTCCCTTTGCCATCTTGGTTCTTCTTCCAGGAAATCATCATTTACAATTAGTTCTGGTTTTAGGCCTTCAATACCATAGAACTACCCATAACTGTGCCTGTATTTCTGGCTTTATCAGCTTTGCCTAACACATGTTAGTGTCCTGCAATGAAAGATAGGAAATTCAGTGCACTTAACCTACTTATCCCCCCCTCTATTTCTCCTTCCAATTCTTATTAGTTGCATTACTATTTTTAAAAGATTAATAGTTAAATGGATACATTTAAATAATATGCATACATTTCTATTTCTTAATTCACCCACTTCTGAAATTATCGACCTACTCCCGATCCTGTAAAATGAAGAAAGTCATTCACAGCCACAAACCTCCACTCCTACTCTTTGTCCCACCTGACTTCCAGGTGATTAACACCCAGGCATGTGGCATTCACACTCTGACCTGTAATTGTAAGTCAGTTTTCAGCACTTTGTCTATAGCTTGACAATGAAATTGAAAGCATTAGAAGTGAAAAATAGTCATAGTATTAAGGTTATATAAATATGAATTGCCGAATCAAGTAATAATAAGGCCCATAAGATGGAAAAAGGATTCTGCATTAGCAAAAATATCCATTCAAAAGCAATGAACAAATAGATTATTTTTACTTATACTTCTACTTTTCCAAGATATATCATATTTCAATTTGCCTCATCATAACTCCTAAAGTTTTGTTGTTGTTGTTTCTCTTATTCTGCTTGACAGAATAAACATTTAACTTGTAAGGGATGGGAAAAATCTTTCCTTTACCCTCTTACGATATATGGTGAAAGCTTGCAAATTAGACTGACACAAGATAGATTAACAGGAAAAAAGGCTTACAAATTTTGTTTGATGTTAGTATTTTAATTTCTATATGCCCAAAATCCTTCCTAGCTAAGAAGGGAGGACCCAAATAAGCAGTTAAACTCATGGGCTTTATGTCATCTTTTAAAATAGCAAAAATTATGACAGGGCAAAGCAAAAAAAAGTTAGAGTTTCTAGGAGTCATAAATTGTGGGAAGATAAATATAATTTAGGAGGGAAACTAATGGAAGACAATTACATGGGAGGGTGAAACTAATGGTAGATATGCACTTTTTAGTGAGGTTTCTTTATGTAGATGCATCTCAGTGTCATCTCTGTCTCCATGTTAGAAATGTCTCTTGTCTTCCTAGTACAAAAGCCAGGACACTTGCACAAAAGAAATTTATGCTCTAATTTTAGACAGCTGGGGAGAAGGCAGAGATTTTCCTATGCTGGCTTCCTTAATTGTTTTTCCTCAAGTAATAACTGTGCCAAAGTAACATATATATTCTAGGAATGACATATTCTGATCTCCCCTTTAATATTTTCACCTATCTAAGATCTTCCAGATATTTAAATAGATTGTATGAATCAATATTCTTCCTAAAGACATTTTTCAATCACCACGCCCTATCCTCCCTGTTCTAATTTGGGCCAATTGCTTTCTAGACCTTTTTTTTTTTTACATCTGACAAATTGAAACTTTTTATTTCATTCCTCGGGCAATTCTTTTGTTTATTGGATTCATGTTTCACAGAAAGAAGGATAAAAAGGGAGAAACTTACCTCATTCGTGAACAACAGTTTGGCTAGTTACAAAATTTAGGTTCAAAATAATTTTCCCTGAGAACTTTGAAGCTTTGCTCCTCTGTCTTCTAGCATCAATATTATGAATGAAAAGATGTGATGACAATCTTATGCTTGTTTTTTGTAGGTATCCTATTAATTCACTCTGCAAGCTTATAGTATTGGAATATTATTATTTCAATTGAATATTTCTGAGTATTTTCCACATAAAAAGTCATTTTTGTTCAGGAAAATGATGTCTTATTATTTTTATTTTCCTCTTTTTTCTGTTTTCCAATGTTTTATTAGTCACCTATTGTTAACTTTCTAGATCTATTCTCCATCTCATGTTTTCCCTTTCTGTCATTCTCTACATTCTGACCTATTGTCTTAACTTTATCTTCCAGATCATTAATTTAGTTTTCAGTCATATGAATGATTTGATTCTATTAATTTTTAAAATTTACTTGGGAAATCAATGTTTAATTTTTCAAGACCTCTTTCATGTTCTCTGCTTGTTCCATTTTCATAGTATCCTATTCTTATTTATGAATATAGTATTCTCTCGAATATCTCTGAGATTAATTCAATTTTAATATCTCTTTCTCTTCTTCTTTTTTCCAGTACTGAACACAGGGCCTCACACATGTTAGGCAACTGCTCCATCACTGAGCTACATCCCCAGCCCATTTTTTATTTTTTGTTTTAAGACAGAGTCTCACTGTTACCAATCCAGTCCTCAAATTTGCAATCCTCCTCCGTTAGCCTCCCAAGTAGCTGAGATTAAATGCCTTTCTTCTGCTGCTTTTTTTCCATCAGTTGTTCTTCCATACATCTTGGTACTTCTCTTTTACCAAACATTTAATAGCCCTTGACTGATTGGTAATCATTCTTAATAAAAAGCATACTGGTTCATTAGCATAGGTAGTTGGCAAAGTGACTCTTTTTTTTGGAGCTTGGAAGAGTAGTTTGCCCATAAGTCATCATGGTACAGGGAACCAACTCCTCATTTTCTGTGGGTCAGAGACAAGCTTCTCTTAGGCTGCATGGATGGTTCAGTTTATATACTCATTAACTAACCAAGTAAGGAAAACTCCATGAGGGAGGAAGAGATTCTATGTGCACTGTCCTCCTTCTGTTTCCACAGGTGCCACATCCCTGGATTTCACCAACTCTAGATGGAAAATAACCTTGAACATGGGCCTGAACAACATATTACAGCAACTATTTACAGAGCATTTACACTGTAGTCAGTATTAAGGTAATTTAAAGATGATTAAAATCTACAGGAGGATGTGCAAGGGTTACATACAAATGCTATTCCGTTTTATATAAGGGACTTGCACATCCTTAGACTCTGGGACCTTCCCGTGGGTGAGTGGCAGGTACCCTGGAACCAATGGATACAGAACCCTCTGGATACAGAGGGATCACTATATTTTACTGCTCAGTCAAGCAGCCTTTCTCTTCCTCTTCCTCTGAGTTGCATGGAAGCTCCAGAGCTAACTCGGGCTTTGTTTGCACCAACACCTACATTAGCTTTATTCAGGAAGATGTCCTACTAGAGTCCTCCTTTGTCACTAGCAGAGAGCAGATGTTGTAACCAGCTGCTCCTGAGACCTGAGAGGTGAGGAAGAGATACCTGAGCCAGAAAATTCAGTGTCTTCTAACTTCTCCACACTCCAAGTGCAAGGTCAGGCTTACTGAAGCTGAATCTACATTTTAACAGCACACCTGGTGACCCAGCACATTGGGTCTAAGAAGTACAGCTTTCCCAGCAGTGCCTGCTCTCATCTTTGATGCCTCCATATTTGGGACTTCTGGAGCTCAGCCAGAATCCTCTCAGATTCTGCCCCAGATTCTCCCTAATGTCCTTCAGGATGATCTACTTCCCTTTCTTGGTATGTAAACACCTTTGACATATGAAATAATAAATACCTGTAAGCTCATAACCTATCTTAGTAACAACAGTGTACAAATATAATCACATCCCTTGGGAATACCCTGCCCAATTTTTTCATCATCATTTCTGAATGCAGTGTGGCAGAGACATGGCAGCCCCATAGGCACAGATGCGTCATTCCAGTAAAATTCTGTCACGTATAAGCACAGACCAGAAGGATGGACCCCGCTGTGAGGACTTAAGGAAGTATGAGGTGGCCTGGGAAGAGTAAAGACTGGAGTCTGAATTCACCCACTTTGATGGCCTGGAACAAACTAGGAAAGATTGGACTAGAAGGCCAAGACATCATAGGCAAAGGTGATAACCACCGGCTGCTGGGGTGTGTTAGAGCAGAGAAATAGCAAAAGAGACAGGGAGAAGTTGAAAGCTGGGAACCAGTATAATCTAATGGCATCTCTTGATATTAAAGAGGCTGGCTGATAATTCTCAACATTTGGGAACAAACCAACATCCAAAATCCTGAGCGAAATTATAAAATTTACTCTTCCCCCTACCACTACACCCAGAGCACCAGGAAGACCTCATTCCATTCTTCTGTGTGCCAGGCACTGTACTGTAAATCGAGATTTTTCAGAGGGGAGTAACATGGGGAGAGGCAAAGCAGAAGGAGACTTGGAGGAGGAACCTAGCACGATGTGTGCCCTAAGTCATAAGTGCTTTGGTGCTTTTGTATCACAACCCAAGACAGGGGTGAGGTTGTCAGAGATCATGAGTTTTAGGGTTTGATGTTCAAATCCTACCTCTTCCCCATACCATTTGTATGACCTTGAGTATGCTATTTAACCTTTGTAAAACTCAGTTTCTCTCAGATCATTTGGCAGTCCAGAAAAAAAGCATTAGTTATACCTTTCATAGTAAAAAGTCCATACTTCTACGAGGACAGAGATAAGGAGGGATAATAGACATCTCAAGAACATATGCCATACTTGTTACTAAAATTACTTAACATTTATTGCTTCTTTTAGGATTAGTACATTGTAAGCCTCATTAGATACCCTAAGAATTAGAATTGATTAAAATTGACAGTAGAAATGAATCAAACTATTTTCTCTTTGTGTGCCAAATTTCCTCCATCCAAAAGTATAGTAGTTACTTCATTTTTCTTTGTCCTGTACAGATATATTTAGCATGATCAATTATATAAGCCCCCTTTAACAAATTCCATAGACATTCACTACCCCTTTTCATAATGAGGTACAATCAACTCTCAGTTAACCAGCCTAGCAGCTAATGGAGCAGAAGACCATTGCCACAGCCTCCTCAAAAACAGAAGTTAAATGGTAAATTGCTTCTACTCAGCTTTGTGGATTTTTTAATCCTATATTTGCAAATGAAAATATCTGGTTATTAGTGATTCCCAAGAATTCAATCAAGCTGATGGAGAAAATACTATGAAGATATAATGCGAGAGGAGACATGATTTTTGGCTTCCTTGTTGTGCCATCTTATCCAGAAGTCTTTTCTGCTCTGAGTCCACATTGAAAATGGACAACATCCCTTCACTAGCTGGTAAAAAACACTATCTACCGAGAATAAGCTGGAGATGACTTCCTGTAGGGTCAAGTCAGGGCTGGCATGTATGGTGGCATTTCCATCTGCCACACTGGGCAGCTGATTCTCTGATGTGTTGGCCATTGCAGGTTCTCCACAGGCAGTCATTCGTGTTTGACAGTGATGGTCTTGATTTCTGTGAAGAAGTCATGAGAGTCCTTGGCTCCTTCTCTTCCTATCCCCGAGCTCTTCATGCCCCCAAAAGGCAGGTTCAGCTCCCTGATGAGCCAGCAGTTGGTCCAGACCAAACCTGACTGCAGCTTCTTGGCCACCCGGTGGATGCGGCCCACATTGCTTGACCACACGGTAGCCGCCAGCCCGTACTTCACGCCGTTGGCCCTTCTAATAACTTCCTCTTCGCTGTCAAAGGGGACAACACACGTCACGGGGCCAAATATCTCTTCCTTCATGCAGCAGGACTCATCCTTAATGTCTGTTATTACCGTGGGAAGCATGAAGTAGCCTGCCTGATTCCTGGGGGGAAGGTTCAAATTATCTACCCCTTCTCCACACAGAATATGGGCCCCTTCAGCACGAGCTCTCTTGATATAACTTCTGACCTGGGCAGGTAGAAAGTATTTGTCATTTGGCTTCATAAAAGTCAGCAAAAACATCAATACTCTGTAATCAGCAAAAGCAATATAAGGTAATTGCTAAGAAATCTATGGTTGGGGGCCGGGGATTTAGCTTAGTGGCTCTGCTGCCCACCTCACAAGTGCAAGGACCGGAGTTCGATCCCCAGTACCAAAAAAAAAAAAAAGAAAAGAAATCTATGATTGGTTATTTTTTTAATTAATTAATTTATTTATTTATTTATTTATTTATTTATTTATTTATTTGCAGTACTGGGGATTGAACCCAGATCCCTCACACTGAGCGAAATCTCCAGCCCTTTTTCACTTTCTATTTTGGGACAGGGTCTCACAAAGTTGCTAAATTGTCCAGGCTGGGGTTGAATTTACAATCCTCCTGCCTCAGCCTCCCAGAAATCTATGGTTATCTTACTACTTGGCTCCTCAGCACCAACCATCATTTGGGTATTCAGTCCTGTTTCATAGGGGAGGGAAGTAATTTATTTAATGTCTAAGTGCCAGGCATGCAGATGTTTTTCATATATTCTCAATTCCCCCAAAACTCTATCAGCTACTTTTATCTCTTGCTATCCGCTCATCACTGAGGAAATAACTGACAGAAAATATTCAGGGTTCATATAGTTAATGAACAGTAAAGCTAAATTCATGCTTAGGCATATTCTGTTGTTAAAAACACAAAAAGTTATTCACTTTAAGGTAGGGAATTGTGTCCATTGTAGAAAGTGGTAATTGAATGATGTATAAGATTTAGCCTCCAGAACATAAACATAAAGACTGAGCCTCTAGAACAAAGAATTTCCAATTTCTAGTGTCAGTACTGATTATATTCTGAAAATATATCTAGGGGATGATATTTATATTATATATTATATATTATATATATGAAGAGAGAGAGAGCTAACTATAAGGGAAAATAAATTATGTAATAACACACTGACTCAGAGATAATGATGGATGACTTTTCTTGAAGACTGAATTTTGTTTTTGTGTTTGTTTTTCCTTTCAGAGGCTTGATGCTGAGTCGTGATAGCAGGAGAGATGGCCAGGATCTACCTATGCACTTTACACCCAATTCCAGGTAGTTTAAGCCAAGGATCAATAAGAATTCAAGGAAAATGTGTACAGTAAGTTTGGGACAAATAGTGTAACTGGATTATACAATATGACATGTGCTATGCTTGCACTGAATTTCTTCTCAAATAAGAACTTTCTGTAAATCACATGGCAGAGATTTACTTACTTTCTCCAAATGTTCTTTACTTATCAGGGCACCCATGCAGGCTGATGGATCAGAAGGAATGCCAACTTTCCATTTTCTAGTAGCTTCTACAAATCTTTTTAAAAATTCACTGTAGATGCTCTTCTGAACAAAGATCCTGCTGGTACAGAGGCAGATTTCACCCTGTCAAGAATGAGAACAAAGATAAGGCTGGAGGACATTCTCCTTCATGGACAGATTCCCCCTGTCCTTTTGAGCATGGCTACATACCAGGCAGTAGCCTAGGCAAAGTGAACTTGTGATAAAGGAGGCTAAGTCTCCACCAGGGGGACACACAATCTTGTAGGAAGACTGAGAAATTCACAGATAAACACCAGAAATATAACCTCAGGTAATGATCAAAGAAATAAAAGAAAATCAGGCAAATCTAGAGAATAAAAACTGATGGGGCTGGGAAAAGTTATTTTACTAAAGGGAGACATAGAGGGCATTTGCAAAGAGGGGACATTTCAATGGACTCTTGATTGATATGAAGAGCTGGCTGGGCAAAGATCTGGAGGAGAGAATCCTCAGCAGTAAGCGTGGAGTCCTGCTGCAGGAAAGAGCCCAGTGGCGGATTGGGGGTACGTAGGGCCAAGGATGGGAGCGGAGGCAGGGACGGGAGGTATGTGGTACGACACGAGGTCAGAAGGCCAGCGAGGCAACATCATGTGGTCTAAGAGGCTCACAGGAGCTCACGTTTTATCCTCAGCCTCAGGAGAGGCAAGGTTTTAAACAATGGAATGAGATCAGCAGATTTTCATTTTAAAATGACCGTTTCAGCAGCTGTGTGGAAAATCAAACAGGGGGAAGTGAGAGTGGGAACAGAGTGGAGAGTTAAGAGAACATTCTAGAAGTGCAGATAAGAGGCAGTAGCTTGGACCAGGGAGGCACCAACGGAGATGGAGGGAAGTGATGGGGATCCACTGGGCTTACGTCTCCCAGGGGATGGGACCCCAAAGCTGTGACAGGTTGGCACAGATACACTGGAAAGGTAACAGGTTTCAGGATAAATCTTACAAGGGAGACCCTACAGGCCTTGTTGACGGATATGAGGAAAACAGAAGGCAAGAATGGGGAAGTCTCAGGTTTGGGGCCTGTACTGCAGTGCAGATGGTAGTAAGGCAGGCAAAGGATCCAGATTGCAGGCAAGGGAGACAGGGAAATTGGGAGTTCTGCTGGGGTCATGTTAAGTCAGTTGCTCAGCAGACTTCCAAGTAGAGATGCTGAGTGCTCAGGAGTGAGGTCCTGCAGATTTCAGAGTGGAAAACGGTCCCAAGTACTGTTTCAAAATAGCACATAATGGCTTGCAAACCACATTCTAGATATTCAAGGCATAATATACATATGACAAGTATATAAATGCTTAACTACTTTCATCACCTTTACATTTGGCCTTCACAACAGTCCTGGGAAATAGATTGTTTCTAATTATCTTGATATTTGCACAAAGGTTCATTGTTCAAATTGAACAGTTAATATTTGGAAATAGTAAATTCTTTCTGCCACCAGGATTACTTTCAGAACCATCTGTATATCTGGCATGGAAAACAGCCAAGCAGCTGACATGTTCATTGGCACAAATGCCTTGTGCTCTGTGGAGAAGGGGGGCATGATAAAGAGACCTGAGGCCACGTTTCCCACTACTCAGTGCCAGGAAAGCATAGGTAACACTAAAAACCCTGGACAGTGACTTTGGAGGAAATGATTAAAGGACAGCATCAGTCTCTGAGTCTCTGTTATATTGCAGGCACTGTGTAGGACGCTTCCTCCACAATAACTCTGTGGTGTGTTATTATTCTCAATTTACAGTTAGGAAATGAAATTTTGAGATAATACATGCCTCAGGTCACACAGAGATGCTTTCCAGAAAAGTCAGTTATGTTCGATTAAGAAAGAAGTGTGAAAAAAAAAACTGAGCACGAAAAAACCCTAAGGACGAAAGAAAGAAAGAAAGAAAGAAAGAAAGAAAGAAAGAAAGAAAGAAAGAAAGAAAGAGGTGTGAAGTATGCCCAAAGTGGAGCTCATCACTAAGCTAAATAAAGGAATCCAGCTGTGTTGTTTGTTTTGCCTAAAATCCATTTTTTGTTTGGGTTGCCATGTTCCTTTTTCCACAGAATCTGAGTGTCCCCACAGGTTCTCTGAGCAAAGGCCAATTTCTGCCCCATGCAGTAGAGCAGCCTACAATCCTTAAGTCTGTGCTCAGCATTCACTCACATTGACACAGAGCTTCTCTCACTTCCTCTCATCTTAATTCTCAGTGCACAGAGTTTGTGCCTATTTTGTTTTAAAGCCATCAAAACACTTGGTTTAGTTGTTCAATTCATATTTGCTTATTTCAATAATTAAATCAGGTGTATCATGAAGTGTCATTGTCTGATGATCCCAAACTCCTCTACGTTTCCAGCAACCTTTTCTAGAAATTGCAGTACGAGGAATTGCTATTAATAATTATGAAATTAAAAATCACCATTATAATTATCATGAAAAAATAATTAAAAGTAGTATTTCTCACTGTGTATCCACAGAATTCTGTTGGAAGGGTCATGATTGATCAAATGACTTTCCAGGTGAAGAAATACAGATGCAGAAGGTTACCTGATATCCAGTGTTACCTGAGCTAGGAAAACACAGATCTACCTCATTACACTCCTTCCTCCTATGGAAATTCTAGCTCTTTAGCATAAGCCTTTGTTCTCTACTAAAATAAAAACTATTCTTTGGAGCAAACCATTGAGTATCTATGCATACCTGCTAGACCCTAGCAGTATTCTAGGCCTTGATGCTAAAATTACTGCACAAAGGTAGGCACTGTTCTGCCTTCAGGAAGCTGCAGGCTAGTTGAGCTGGTCTGGTGTTCTTAATCCTTTGGGATGCCATGAGCTTGAAAAATCTGACAAAAATTACGGAGCCCACATGACTCCTAGCTGAGACACCTGCTCTGGAAAGTCAGAGATAATGGTAACTCAGTGTGTGAATGGGTTTGGGATGGTTTTGGATGGAGAAGATCTACTGGGAATAGCACCTTTGGGCAGCAGTAGGAGACAGAGAGACTGTGTGAATCAAGAAATGTAAGCCAAACATGATGGCCCATGCCTATAATCCCAGCACTCAGGGGCCTGAGGCAGGAGGATTGCCATGAGATCAAGGCCAGGATGAACTATATAAGGAGACCCTGTCTCAAAAGAAACAAAGAAATAAAAAAGAAATGGAGAAGCTTGGTGCAGAAAAATCAATCACTCTGCCCATGGCGGGTACCTGATAGAAGGTATGTGACTCAAGAAAAGGAGACTGATGAACAATAAAAATCGTGACTTTACAAGGCCACTGACTGATGCTGGAGTAATGCAATCTGTTGATCTGCCTTGACAAAAACTTTTGGATTGACCTACTCACTCCTGTGCTTTGCACTTTGATAAAAGAGGTCCAGGTTGACAGGGCCCTGGGAGAGGGCAGCACACAGAGGACATACCTGGTTGGCAAAGCTGGACCTGATGGTTGTTGGAATACACTCCTCCAGGTTGGCGTCCTCAAAAATGATGGCAGGATTCTTGCCCCCCAGCTCTAGGGAGAGCTTCTTGCAGTGGGGAGCACTCAGCTGGGTGATCCTCTCAGCGGTGGGCTGGCTCCCAGTGAAGGAGATCAAGGGCACCTCTGGATGGGACACCAAAGCTTCACCTGCCCTGGGCCCCACTCCAAACACAATATTGATGACACCTGGTGGAACACCTGGGTGGGATACGCGATACTTCAGGTCACATGGAGACTTTCTTTGCAAGTACAGTAGCTCCCATGGAGGGAGTACTTGATGGTTTTTTAGACAGCTGGAGCTTTTATAGAGATCTCCAGTTTAATAGCAAAGCAACGACAAGAGGGTCAGCTCTGCTTAGAGAACCAGTAGGTGAGATTTCTCTGGGTGCTTTGCCTGAAGAGAATTAGGGTAGGGCCCATTCTGGGTAATTAATTTCATAACACGGACTAAGCCTCAGGGATTGAGAGCACAGAGAGATCCCCAAGCCCAGGGGGGAAGCAGCGCCCTCCTCCAACTTGTATCCAGGAGCTGCAGTGCAGGGAGGAAATGTTAAGTAGGTGTGTGTGTGTGTGTGTGTGTGTGTGTGTGTCTGCAGGGATGCAGAGAAGAGATTGGTTCTTTGGCCCAGGGGATCAGGGGAAGGCTCCCCAGGGAAGGTGAGCTGTGAGTTGGAGGTTCTACACCTCATGATTATGGAGAGCACCAATGCACTGTAAAACCAGCTTTAAATAGGTGTCCCCATTTTTCTATCACCAAACCCTATTGTCCTAAATCTACATGTATGTATTGACATGTTTTCTGGATTAACTTCTTCATAGCTGTTCACCACTAGAAGTTACACTAGCTAAGGACACAAATAGAATCTGTTTTCTGCCCTAGCTTGTCACATAAGAGTTAACCAGTCAATGTTCACATGGATTGGGTGCTTAGTGGGGGGGCTATCGTGATAACTGATTAACCCTTATCCACGGAGTCACATTCTGCTATTTCATTTACCTGAAGTCACCCACAGTCTGAAAACATTATTTACCTTGACGATTTCAAAGAGAAAAGGCACAATCACACAACTTATTACAGTATATTGTTCTAATTTTTCATTTGTATTCGTAGTTATTGTTAATCTCTTGCTGTATCTAATTCATAAATTAAACTTTTTATGAATGCACATGTATAGGGGAAGACATGGTATACAGAAGGTCCAGTGCTCTCTACAGTCTTGGGTATCCACACAGTCTTGGAACATATGCCCCACTGATAGGGGTGACTGCCGTGCCATCCTTAGGCCTCACAATGATTCTACAAAGTACTTGGTATTATCCCACTTTACCAGTGAGGAGCTTGAGGCAAAGTAAGGTTGAATCACAACCAATAAACGCAAAAACTGGTCAGAGCAGGTTAATGAATGATTGTTGAGTCAATGAGTAAGTAAATAGATGCTTAGTTCCAAATTAGGAAGAGTATGTGAAGTTCAGAAGCTTCAAGTGTTCAGAAAACCTCACCTGAGCAATCAAGTTGCACCTAGGAAGCTCTCCGGAAGGTTTGTCTGGAGGGAGCTGGACTAATTCCATTTCTTCAGGTTACTGAAAGCCTCCAGTGAAAAGGACTTATGTACTTTACTACTCTATACTTTGAATAAGCAGAATTGGTCTGTTCAGTGTCAGATTTATATGGACGGATATTTTTACTGCTGTGGTCAAGAAACCAAGGTATCTGAAGCTTACTTCTTTGTATTAATGAGTCAACATCCCCAGAAATAATTGATGTCTGTAAAATATAAACTTAATTTTTCACAATTGTGAAAGATGAAAGAAAAAAAGAAAGAGGGAGGGGAAAAAAGAGAAAGGAAGGAAGGAAGGAAGGAAGGAAAGAGGGGAGGGAAAGCTTTGGAAAGGCTCCTGATCTCCTTCCCTTGCGCAGAGCTAGACATTCTCTCATTAGAAACTCTCTTGGATTCAAAGCACCTCACGAATCTGCCCTTAAAGTATGAATAACGATTTCACACTAGTGATCCATCATCACCCAGAAAGCCCTCCCACAGACCCATGGCCTAAGCCCTATCACCTTGAGGGTTCAATGGAGGCCCCATCCCTAAGGAGACAGGTGGAAAGATTTAATATCATGATTGCATCTGGCAGAGACTTGCTTCTAACAGTCCCACCTCCTGACTCAGTGTGAGCATTTATTGAATCTAGCTTAGGTCAGTCCTGGATTGTAGGTCACCACCAGACAGTGCCTGCCCAGGTGGGAGCCCCTGGGCCCCAAGTTGGGGCAAGAAAGAGTCTGGAAGGAGAGCTACTGATTGGAAGAAAACAAAGACAAGTTTCACCATTTCTTGGATGGGGTGTGGCCTCTCCACCAAATACCAGACAAGTGTGGGGGTGGATGAGGGCTTGGGTTGGGAGACTATTTACAAATTCTAAAGGCAAAAATGAGTTGAGCCACTTCTGTTTATACTAGCATTTTAACAGAGGATGAGAAGAAAAAAAACCAGAAGCACCATGGGAAAATGAGATCATTCCAACAGACTGATTGCTTTCCATGTGCATTATGAACGTTTTGATACATTTCCTTGGGGTTTGACGTTAATATGTTGAGAGGGAACTGCTGACCATGATTTCTCAGTAACCATTCTGCCATTTGATGCACGCATTCATGAAATTTTTGTACAGCTATCTGCCCGCTAACCCATAAAAGATTCTGGTTATATGAGAAGGAAAGCAGTTTAACTGGCAAACAGAAATTCAGCAAAATCCAAGTGGCTAACAGAAATGTTAGGCACACAGGAACAAAAGCTAATGAAGGGCTGGGGATTTAGCTCAGTGGTTCTGCTGCCTGCCTTGAAAGCGCAAGGTCCCAAGTTTGATCCCCAGCACCAAAAAAAAAGCTAATGAAGACTCTCAAATGCTAGAGCTGCTTGTAGGGAAGCAAAAAGAAGAATTTTAAATCTCAGTAGAGAGGTAAAATAAAATGAATGGAAAAGGCCAAAAAGCCCCAGCCAATGGACTCTCTAAGAATGATGGCAAATATTTAGTATTCCCAAGAAGAAAACAGAATATTCTAAGATCCCTGAAGAGATATTCACTGTGTACTTCTTACATGATTCTATCTCAAAGGAACATCACCCATCAGGATACATGCACTTCAGAACTAGAGGAGCTGGCTTTTCAAACATGCAGGATGTTTTAGCAGTTTATTTTCACTCCCCCGCCCCACCACACATGCACACACACACTCTTAAAAGCTCCTGTTGCACTGTTGGAAAGGAGGATTTTGTACATCCCCTAACCCCAGGGGAGAAACCAAGGGCTTGAGAGGGATGCAATTTGACCAGGATTATGCTCACACTGCTTGTCAGGAGAGGCGAGTTTGACAAAGCCAGCCCAGGGAGGAAAGAGGAGAAGGGCTGCCCTGGTATAATGGGCCGATGAGCTCACACAAAATGAGATCAAATATATATACAAATATATATACATCTATGCAAATAGATGGAAATGGAAAAGTCTCATACAGACCAGGTTTAAGACGAGTGGGAAGGAAACAAAACTCATCATAGATTAAAGCCTGGCTCCATATCCACCTCCATGTGCCCCTACCCCTACATGGGATGGAACTAGAGTGAGAGCCCCTGCTATAGCTTGGGTCTGAAACATCCTGCAGAGATCCATGAGTTGAGGGCTTGGTTCCCAGCCCATGGTGCTACTGGGAGGTGGTGATCAGAGGAGGTAGGTCATGGAGGGTGTGCCCAGAGGGCACATTGAGACCCAGCCCCTCTTCTTCCTGTCTCTTTGCTTTCTCTCCATAAGGCAAGCAGCTTCCTTTGCCATGTTCTCCTGCCATCACATGCTGCCTCACCACAGGCCCAAAATGAGCCTCCAAAACTATGTGCAAAAATAAACTTGTCCTCTTTTTAGGTTGGCTTATCTCAGGTATTTGTTACAGTAACGGAAAGCTGACTAACACAGCTCCAGTCCTGTCCTACCCTGGAAAGCTGCAGTTACCAAGCCAAGAAGAAATCTCTTGCATATTTGCACACACCAGAGACTCCATTCTGCAAAGAATGGGATTAGAATGTGGTGTCTTTTGTAAAGGAGGCCTGGCACGTTCTGAAAATGGCACATTTAGTCATATACTTGCCCAGAGGCCTAAGGCATCACAGACATCATCCCGAAGACCTGGGTCATGAGGCCTCATCCCTCTGCAGGATACTAGGGTCACAAGGCCAATGCCCTTTCTGACACAGACTCAGTTCTCACCTATCCCCTAAATCCTAAAGAACTGGCTAACTTTCACCGGAAGCTAGTGTGTGTGTGTGTGGTTTTGCTTTGATAGCAAAGATATCCAGAGAAGAAATACAATGGGCTCCTGCCCACTGCCGATTCTGTGGACATAGGAGAGTCCAGATGAATCTTCTCTGTGGGCTGAAAGGCGGTGAGGACAGCAGAAGTTGGCACATCCCAAAGGATGGTAGGTCTGTCCTCACCATCCAGACATCATTCCCACCCAGGCTGTGAAGGATAGGGGCCGAGGAACCCAACACCACAGGGCCTTCTCTCAGGCCACATGCTGGCTTCCTGCCTGTTACCTCCAAACTCCAGTGCAGACTCAGGCTGTGCCTGTACGAGTCACGCCCCAGAACAAAACCCAAATTATTGAACTATTAACCTTGAGTCATTAAACTATTAGTAGAAAGAGGACAAGGAACAAATGTAATATGCTGGTGAGAGGCCATATCTCATCTGCTTCTGAGGAGTGGGCTCCTGTGCTGAGAACTGAAACATGTATATTCAAATCCCTTAAAAACAGCTACGTTTAACAAGGATTATATAGCTGTACAAAGCACGGGAGTACCTAGCTATATTCTTATTTTCATCAAGAATAACTTGTGGCTCAAACCTAAGATTTAAATTAACTATAGAAGATACTGTCTGGAGTGAGCTGGTGTCTTTGGTTTGACAGGGACAGTTTAAGCCTTGCTATATTTTGGATCTGAGATGTCCCCTAAAGGCCTAGGCATTAAAGGTTTGGTCCTCAGCCTGTAGCACCACTGGGAAGTCATAGAGCTTTAAAGAAGTGGGGCATAAAGGCAGGAAGATAGGTCTCCAGGGCATGGCCATGAAGGGGATCGTGGAATGCTGGTCTCTTCCTCTCTCTTCACCTCCCAATTATCGCCATGTGTACAAGTCTCCTCCACCACACATTTCCACTGTGACAGACTGTGCCACCACAGGCCCAAAGCAACAGGGCCAAACTATTGTGGGCTGAAGCCTCCAAATCTGTCAGCCAAAATGTGTCAGTCAGCTTTCCTATGGCTGGGACAAATATGTGACACCCTCAACTCACAGAAGCAGAGATTCATTGTGGGTTTTGGTTTCAGAGGTTTAGTCCATGGCTACACCTCAGCTGGCTCCAAGGAGCAGTATTATGGCAGAAGGGTGCCGTGGAGCGAAGCTGCTCAATTCCTGGAAGCCTGGCAGCAGAGTACAGTGGAAAAGTGCTAAGAAGAGAGAGATACCTTACACAGGCAGTCCCCAGTGACTCATCTCCGACTGGGCCCCACCTCCCATAGCACATTCAGCTATGAACAGCGGCAGATCAACACACTGATGAGTACAGTCTCCACTCTCTATGATCCAATCACTTCTCCAGTAGCCCCTTAATCCAATCAAGTTATAAAGCTTTTCTCTCACAGGAAGTTTATCGTCCGAGGTATTATTACAATAGTGGAAAGCCAGCTTAGACAAGCCTGCAATATTGTTGTGCACTGTGCACTGCCAGCTACTCTGCAGCAGTACCATTCTGCTCTGAATAGAAGGAGCAGTGTGAGAGAATCCTGCTGAGAATGAAGGGGATTTTTCAGGAAAGCTCAGAGAGACAAAACCTGAAGATGTTACTGGGATTGATTCTGCTGCTAAGTAGATTTCTATATAACTTTGCTTGAGCTCTGCACCTCCTCCAACCCCAGCACCTAATTACCTGCTTTATCCAGGAGCTTGCACAACATCCAGGCGGTCACTGAAGTCAGCTCACTGGGCTTGGCTATCACAGTATTCCCGGCAGCAATAGCTGGGGCTATCTTCCAGGTCAGCAAGTAGAGGGGCAGGTTCCAAGGGCTGATCAGCCCAGCTAAAGGACCAGAGCAGAGGCTGGTGACGCGCTCCTCAGAGCCCAGGAGGGCACTAAACCATAACTCCTGCAAGAAATCTACTTCTCCCTTAAAACCCCAGACTTGGCTTACTTGTAGCCCACCTGAGGGAAATCTTTATGAAATATTATTGTAAGTGACTGTACCTTTTAAAACAGTAAGATCAATACAATTTACCCATTTCTCAATGGTTTGTGATTATAATTATAAACAACAGGAATATAAGCTCCAAGGCTGAAAGGCTGTCATCAATCACTAAACAGTTCCATTTTCAGATGTATAAATTGATATTTACTTTAAAAAAAACTCCCTCCTCATTATTAAGTTGTGCAGCTGCTGTTTTTCCTAATAAGTTTTTCCACCTCTGCTTCTCAGCTGCTGTGGATTAAGACATAAAGTCTCAAGCTTTATAGAATTATCTATGAAACTAGAGCAAAGCAATTCCTCCCGTTCCTGGTGAGGGCCCTACTGTCAGGAAAGTCAATGAACTTTGATGCTTAGACCATGAAATATAACTTAGCTATATAGAAGATTTTTAAATAAAAACTGTCTGTGAATTCTCACCTGTATCCTGACCAGATAGATTTGTTAGATAAGTAATATACCTAACATCTAGAGTGTGTCTCCATGCAATATTCTGAAACTGCGCAGTTTTCCAACCACCACACACAACAAATATGAAAGCTACACTATGAATAAGGAAATAGAGTCACCTTATTTTATTCTCTGCCTTCAAACCTACGCTAAGAAAGTAAATGTACATTTTAACATTTTCCATTGGATAGCAATATTTTTGCAGCAAAGTATGTTCACATACTTCTTAGGAGGAGGCTAAAGCTTTCCAAAATCCCTTGAAAATATTGTTTCTGACGGGGTCAAAGAATCAAAACAGTAAAATGTCTCATATTCTCTCCTTTCACATTCATAAAATGTAACTCGTTAAATATGGAGGGTTAGTTTTTCCTGAGAAGAAACACCGACATCTAGTGGATATATTAAGTCATAGCAGGCATTTATATGTTCCTTCAAAGGTCAAGGGGCAAGCCTTTGAATGAATGACATAAGTAGCTAATTCTTGCTCTAGACTTATTTAATATATACCTGGCACTAAGTGTTCTATACCTATTAATTAATTAATTTATACATGTTATTAAAATATACATTAAATTAAACTATTACTCCAACTTTTCAGAAAGGATATAGAAGCACACAGAAATTAAGCTGTGAATTCCCCACCAATTCGAGTCTAAGCCACTGCACTTTCTGGACTTTTTTTCTTTTTGTTAGTTACAGGTAGTAACATTTTTTAAATCCTAGCATGTGAATTTACTCTTGGTATCACTCTTTTCCCTGTAATTTTCCAAGATAATGTTCCAGATATAAGTAAGGAATTTAAACACAAAGCAAGTAAACTAGAAACAGATTTTTGAGGCCAACAAATTTTCATATTGTGCTCCTTGAGACAATGCTACAGAAATTTTTCAGCATCTCGATGCACAACCATGATGCAGACGTTCTGCGGAGCGCACCTACCGATTCCCACAGGGGTCCGCACTGTGTAGTGCAGACAGCCTAGGTGATCCATCTGTGTGCACTCTGTTGTGTGGTGCAGGACAGAGGAAGCAAAGAACCGGAAGTTCTGTACAGCCCGGGGGATGTCCATGGTTCTTGCCATTGTGAGGGTTTTCCCTGTAGGAAATAAACAACACAAAGCCCTGCATGTGGTGTGCTGCACATGGAGCCCTGGAAACCCTTTGTCTGTCTGCTGTCACTCCACCCATACTCCAGCTCACATGGTCTAGCCTCAGTTTCTTCCAGCTTGGGGGACACAGAGCTGATAGTTGGATAAAACTATAAGCTAATTAGGTTGGAGTTTATAAAATGAGGTAGAGGTGACTAAGGTCGACTCAGATCCTCTTTGCTTTGCAGACTGAACACTTCCTAGCTCTTCTGAGCTTGCCAGATGCTACCACTTCACACACACAAGCTCTTGGCGCTCAAAATCAGGAGGCTTTGTAAGTGCCTGAAAGGGTTGAAATAATGGGTGCTGAGACCATGATGGTTGTATATCACATATAAACACGAGGCACATGAAGTGTTCTCTCCACACGTGGTGGAGTCATCACAGGCTGGCAGGAGCACTAGGCACATGATCCCATGTGCTGCCTGCTCCTCTGTCACATGCCCAGGCCCATCCTGCGGCCCGCAGGGAAGAATGAACATGAGCTTACCTGGACTGCTTCTGAGTGTCCTTCAGTAATGGAGAGTCAGACTCTGCCACCAGAAACACGAGCAGAAGAAGTATATTCTTGCCAGGGGCTTACCCGGAGTCTGTTTCCTAACTTTCGGTTGGTTTATAGCGTGCATATGGTTTTTAAAATTCTCTGCTTTTCTTAACAGGTATTTTTGCAGATTTATAGATATTTACTCTATTCTCTTTGTCCTTTGAAAGACTGAAAAAACTGGGAAACTGTGTTGGAGTAAACTAGTGACTGACACATTAGAAAACTTTCTAAATGACTTGACTGTAAATGTCCTTCAAGTTAGCTTGGCTTTGAGATCCTCTACTCATCATGGGTGGAAGCTTGCATGATCAGCCCTTGCTCCTCATTTCTCCCCCAGATCCACACCCTTTGCCATGCGTCTTGGCAGTTACTTCCATCAAATGTCAGTGTATGTCCCTGCCCTTTGACTTTGAGGTCAGCCACATGACTTCACTTTGAATGAGGCAGGAGCGTGACAGCTGCAAGCCTTGACCTTCTGAGGCCTTGGGGTTTGTACCTTCACCCCTGCCATTGCTGTGGGTAGAGCACCTGAGGGTTGGCCTGGAGCCCTAGGAAGGATGGAAATAATCACAGGTATCCTCACAGGTCTCACTGTTTAGAAATAATCACAGGTCTCATGCATTACACTCAGGAGGCAAGAGATCATCTGACAAATGGGAATGAGGGTAGCAATGACCAGTATCTGTGTCACACATCCTGTTTTCATGAGCATGTAGTAAGCAACACCTGCACTCAAACCTGTACTCTGTCTCTGCTAGAAAGAGCATGGAAGACAGACAAGTCCTGAAGTCCTGCCAGAGGCGGCTCACACCTTGGTCTTTAGATTCCGCCTGGGCCAGTTCCTCTAAGGACTGTTCCAGCAAGTCAGCCAGCCGGTTCAGCACCTGTGCACGCTCCTGTGGGCTCTTGGATGACCAGCCAGGAAAGGCCCCTCTGGCGGCCTGGACAGCAGCTTCAATCTTGAGAAGACAGGAGAAGCCACCATAAAGCTGCTGTTCCCAAGGGTCTGGAGGAAGAGTGACTCCACAGGTCCCTACACACATGATTATTTTTTTGTGCCTAATTTCAATTATTCAACATGACCCCATTCCAAGCTAATGTGAGCAGATGACACAGGTGTTCACACAAAAACAAAAGAAAGAAAAACACTCCACTTCCACCAAAGTATCTAGAATGAATATTGTGTGGAGAAGAAACTTGGTCTAGATGTATAGAATCTCTAACACTCTTAATCCAGTTCTAACATTTTATAAAAGCTAAAGTTTTGTGTGAAGTCATATCCCTTTACTGTCATTAGCACTTACAATGATTAATCTTCTCATTAACTAAATTTTATAGCTAAGAGAATATTACTAAATACACAAAGTATTTCATTTAGCTCCCTTTAAAATCCTGTACTTCGAGTATTTTATGCCCATTTTACAGGTGAGAAAACTAAGGCATAGAAAGTTCAGGTAACTTGCCAGTGGTCACACAGATACTAAGTGGCAGAATCGAGATTCACACCCAGTTCTTTGTAGCATCCAAGACCACAATCTAACGTACTATGGTATAACCACTGTCCCTGACCCCTGCCAATGGCATGTGCCTCTGTTGGAGAGGAATGGACCTGGGGTTGAACAAAAGCCTGGGGCTACATCCAAAAAGAAAACAATGTGTAATAATGTATGTGTGGGACCAACTTATGACCAAAATGAATCTTTGGGTGTTTTTCTGCCTTTCTCTTCTCTCAAGCAATATCTAAGCTATCCCTTTTCTAGAGATGATAAATCCATAGCCTATGTTTTACTCCTCTCCTTTCTCTCACATGCATGATGACTACTGATAATCACTCACAGCTGTCTTCTGCCAGTAGGCCCCAGCTCAGCCCCAAAACCCTTTTCCAGGGGCTTCAGGCAGCCACAAGTAGCTTTCTTGTGTCACATGACCTGACCACCCAGCCTCCTGAACCTAAGCCAACGCCCTCACTGAAACCCAGTCCACAGCTCTCCTTTGTTTCAAGGCACAAAATCACTTTCAGCTGAGCTGAAGTAAGGTGTAAGATTAAAATTAAGGGGGCTGATGAAGTACCTCAGGGGTGGAGCACTTGACCAAAACGTGCAAGACCTTTGATTCATCCCCAGCATGGCAAAAAGAAGAAAGATGAAACATGGCCAGTTTCATGTTAAAGACTGAATGTCTAATGTGGACCTGGAGATGGGATGAGAGAAGAGATGTGGGCTTTGGTGCTCTCCACCTCAAGTTGCAGCGTGGAAGAGTCCATGGCCAACCAACCACATGAGCATTAATTCCTACAGTAGGCAATTAAAAAATCTGATCTTTAGCTACTGAAGTCCACTCAGATTTTCTAAGTTGTCTTACTTCTCGTGTCTTATGTCCACAATACAGAATACATATTAATCTACTACATGAATAATGTTACCGTACACCGATACTTAGAAAGTGTTGACTATACACTAAGCACTAAGTGCTTTACATGTGTTAGTCCATTTAATCCTCAGAATACTAGGAAGTAGGTGTTATTATTATTCCCATTTCATAAATGGGGAGACAGAGGCATAAAGAAGTTGAGCTCTAAATCAAGATCACAGATACCAAGTGCTGCAGCTGGTCTTTGAGGCTAAGCAGTCTGACTCAGTGCTTATGGCTACAATGCTATGAAGCAAAAGGACTGCAACAATTGTGTGCACACATGTGTGTGCATGTGTACATGTACGTGCATGTCCACTGAGCTAAGCATCGGAGTTGGAAGTGTTAGCACACTGTGCTCTGCCAGATAGAATGATAAGAGCATCTGCTTTCTAGGCTGTAACCACTCACTCCTGGTTAAACAGCTTTAACCGGTGAATGTGAGGTCCATAACTGAAGCTGAATAAATGGAAGGCACTGGTAGCAGCACCAGAAGCATGTTGTGTGAGTGACTGAGAAATTTTGCATATATTTTTATGGTCACTATTTTTTTCAATATAAAATGTATGGAACTTAAGGGATCAGGTTGGGTAATTGTGAGTTGGGATTTCTGAGAAGTAAAAATTATTTATTACTGTAATAACGTACTATTTTCTGTTTTATTCTATTCTCTGAAAAGGTATGAAACATTAGCTCTAGAAAATATTCCACCTGAATTTGACATATTGTCATTTTTAACTTCACATGAGAAACACTGTGAGACAAGGAAGAGTGGAAAAGACAAGGCGAGATTTCTCATCTCTCCTGGGTCCTTTGAAACAAACAAAATTTCATGTTACAGTTTAACCAACGAATTAGCCAATACTTTTGAACATTAATCCACAAGTCTAAAGGTTTTTTTAATGCAAAACAGACTTGAAATTTTAACAGTGGAGAAAAACAACTGGATTCTTTTTTTAAAAATTTTGCATATAACCTCTATTGATAGATGAAGGCTACAACTGTATTTTAAATAATCTAGTTCTTCGTGCTTTAAAAGAATAAATTATAACCCATTAAGCATTAGATGGCTATGCATTTGTCACCTACATTTACCAACCCTTATATATTTACATTCTCAGTTCAATAATTGATAACAATCAAACATGTCTCAATTGTTTTATAAAATTAGTTCATCACTCAAAGGAAAAAAAGCATAATGCATGTGACATTAAGCACTTTTGAATAAAAAATAGTTAAATCTAATTGCAAAAATATACAAGAACTTGATTTTTAGTTTCATCATTCAAATGTTTGATTTTGATATACTAGGAATTTTGAAAACATGAGGAATTATTAGAGATTGATCACTGGCACATTTTTTAGAAATCTACTGATCTAGTGGCAAATTTATGTGACACTTGGTAGATAAAAGGATACACTTAATAATAGTGATAATACTTACAAATAATCCATCATACTATACACCTATTAGAGTCCAAAACTTGCCTAAAAAACCCTACACACACAACTGTGTGTTAGCTTGGCTAGAAAAATGACATGCTTCTAAATATAGTGGTGACTTTACACAATAAACTTGCTTAGAGTCTTCCTTCCACTAATATTTAACAATTCTACACTTTCCTCCAATGCTTTTTGATTTTTAGAAAAAAAGTTATCCATACTTTGCCAACATAGTAAGTATATTTCAGTCTTCTCTATGTGAATAGACTCACCTCTTCTTTCCCACTATTTGGCACCTTGCAATACACTTCCCCTGTAGATGGATCATAAGAATCTATATATGAATTACAAGGTAAAAATTTCCCGTCTATGAAGTTTTCCAGCATCAAAAGTTTGACCGGTGCAGCCATAGTAAGGAAAAATGCTGCCTTTGTCCTTCACAGTTGCTCACTAGTGTTGGACCCATGACTTTTCCCTTGATTCCTGAGTTAGTCTCTTGTCCAGCCCCCGTGTCTTCATTTGCCATCAGTGAAAGTGGGAGGAGCCTGATCCTCTGAGTGTCCAGCCTTCAGAGCTCTCACGCATTTCCCAGACTTCCAGTGCATTATGAGAAATGGATAATCATGTTCACGACCAACTGCTATGTTCATCACCCTCTAAAGTCATCAAAAGGCACCTGTATGATTTAATTGGATTCACACAGAATCACACAGTCCTATTAAAAGTCCTATGAATTTGTGCACTTATTCCACACAGTGATCCTCTAAGAAGTGAATACGGTTACTTCATCTCTTTTGTAGAAGAAAATGAACTTCAGAGAGGTTAGACAACGTGTATGAAGTCAGTGAGCAAGGGAAGAACTGTACTCCTTCGGTTTTCAAGTCACATGTCACTGCCTTCTCCCTGCAGAGACAATGGAAGACACATGTCCTCTCTCCACTGCTCATCTGGGATATTTTTCACCTTGGCTGCCTTCTATCTGAAAAGCTGCCTCTCCATCACCTGGAATGCACAGCATTGAGCCACACTGAGAGCCTGCCCATGAGGTCTGACCCAACCTCACATCTGAGCTGCAATGCCTTACAGAGCTCAAGGCATTTTTTCTAAACTCAGTACCAACCTTTCTCTTGTCTGTTCTCCTTGAAGTGACAAAGTCCTGTATCTGGTTCCAGGGGTTGAGACCGTACTTCCAGGTAGTTCCTACTGCCTCACCATCTGCCCAGATGTCACCTGAATTCTTTGGGCTGGCTCTATCTGCTCTCCAGAGCACAGTCTACCAAAAACTGACTTATTCCTGCCATACTCCTGGAATATCACTCCTACCCACAGATGAAACACACTCCCATTGACTGCACCTGCCATATTCTACAGGGTGGCTTTGGTGCCAGGTTCTGTACAGCTAGGTCAGGGAACTCAAGACCTTGAGCTCAACTGAACAAAAATTATACATGTGAGTTATTGAATATTCTAAGGTCCTAGAATAACTAGTAGTTTTTGCATATTCCAGAAGAGAATGGGATGCTTTTACCTCAGACATGGCAACTCTTTTTGAAAGGGAGCTCTAGATTATTTTGGATTTCTGAACTACACAGATAGGATACAGTTCCAGGAAGTGTAGTGAGTCTGTTGATCAAGCATTTTCTGTATGCCAGAAGCATGACAAAAGATGTGGGTAACTGTTGCTAGAGGAACTTACCTCCTATTAGGAGAGACAGAATTCACAGTAGAGAGGCACAGGGGCACCCCTGGGGGTGTATGTTAGATCCAGGAGAAATAGGAAGGAACAGATAGCTACAATGAGTGGAAGAAAGTGACCAAAGGCAGAGATGCTGGAGGATGTTTACGGAAGAATGGGGAGGAAGGTAAAAGATAGACAAGATGAAGAAGGTAACTCCAGGCTAAGAAATTCCATGTTCTGAGACCCCACCCTTCTCTCTCCACAAGATTCTTAATCACTGGTTTACCTCTTCTCTGATCTTTCATCCTCTCCTCTCTCCTGGCTCTTAGTACCTGTGAGCTCAAGCTTCTGCAATATAATATCATATAACAATCTAATATAATAAATAAAGTTGTAAAAGAATATTCCTATGGCTTTCTGCCCTTTGTCTTTAAGCTCTCTCCTGATGAAAACATTATATTGGCTGAGGGAGCATGAATGCACTGTTATTATAGGGAAGAGTGTCCTAACCTACATGTGGCAGGATGTTCTTTTTTCCCTAGCCCACCCAGAGTCCTCTTAGCCTCACTCCTAGGAGGAAGACATATTGTGGCAAAATCATACACTTCAGAATTATACTGTAAAGATGATCAGTATGAAACATTAGGTTCTTTTGTGGCATGTGCTGCACTCCAGGGGAATTTGGGAATTGTATTAGCCAGCTTTCCCACTGCTGGGACACAATGCCTAACAAGCACAACTTAAAGGAGGAGAAGTCTAATTTCGCTTTTGGGTAATGAGATTCATTTTGTATTTACAGAAACCCTGATCCAGTTTCCCATTATTAACATCTTAAATCAGTGTAGATTTACCACAATGAATGAACCTGTAGTGACATATTCCTATTAACTAAAGTCTATAGTCATATTTCCTTAGTTTTTATCTAACTATCCTATTCATGGTGTCACACTGCATTTGCTCCTGTTGACAATAAATTCCTCAGATGCTCCTGTGTTTGATGACCTTCACAGGTTTGAATGAGTATTGGTCAAGAAATTTTTAGGATAGCCCTGTATTGGAATTTGCGTGATGTTTCTCTCATGGTTAGACTGGTGTTGAGTTGCTGAATGGAAGACCACAGAGGGAAAGTGTCATTTTCACACTATCCTTACATATATGGTTCCTACGACCAACATGACAGTTAATCTTCAGCATCTGGTAAGGTAATACTTCACAGTTTCTCCACTATAAAGTTATCCTTTTCCAACAACTTTCTGCACTGCATTCTTGGGAAAGAAGTCACCATGCTCAGCACACACTTAAGAGTGGGGAGTACAACTAGCTGTGACCAAAAAATCTACACATAGGCATATAATAGTTAAGATTCCAGAAACCCAACAGAAGAACAAAATTCTACAAGCAGTTAGAGAAA